AGAGGTGTAACCTTCACCTCGTGAACGGTTTACAAGTTCCTAAAACTTGTTGGCGACTCTTTTGCTCCATCTTCCTTCCCTTTGGACGCCACCATACTTTAGTGTATGATCACAATGGGGTTCAAGTTTGGGATCATGCTTGAAATATTCTCTATAATTTTTGGCGACTCCGCTGGGGAGGATTTCTATTTCAATTCCTAAAATTTATTTTGGCAATTATTTAGAATCAGTGGATGAGACTCAAAAAGTTCTAAATATTTCATGTGCGTAATTTTCATTATCATTATTATCATATGCATAAAAAAGATCTCATTGGAAAAACCATCCGTAGTGAGTTAAAATATAGGATTTTTACACGTAGGAAATTTGAGGAATATCTTTCACAACTAGGATCGAAATAATGCTGCACGAAACTGGAAAATTTTATCGAGCACATAAAGCTGCCGAGGCATGTAGGAACTAGTGTCCGGAAACAAAGTCTAGCGCCATTTATTTGATTTTAGCGCCAGGCGACAGCTTCTATCACCAGGTGCTAAAGCCAAATTGTGGCGCCTGCCTCTATTTGCCGGCGCCAAGTTCTTCCAATACCGATCCAGAATTATGCGTTCTAATTTTGACCAGTTTTTAGCACAGTTTTCTCGATCCTACTTCTTGATTGAGTTTTTCTCACTTTTCTGAAACCCATATGTGTTCTACATATGGAAATAACCCTATGGGAATTCATGCTCCATCTACCTGATTGAACGCTCTGAGCAACAAAGGGTACATCCGAGAATGTTGAATTCACCAAACCATGGAAGCGAGTTTTTCTAAACCCGCGGTGTCCCATCCACTCGCGCCAACCCTTCACGGTTAGGCTTCCGCGTGGTGCATCCGGAAAATTAACCATGGACCCTCTATTTACTAACCTATATCCTGAACTTTAGAGAACTAGAGCCATGGTTAGGTTGCAAACTCATTGCATCATGATTGTGCCTATTTGACTAATTGTGCATTATTGCTTGTGCATCCTCTATGTGTTTTTCCTAACCGTTTGTTTGACTTGTGTTAAGACTAAATAAACTAATTAATGTCTAAAGGACTTTGTTTAATTAATTAATTAAATGATTTGAGCTAATAAATATGTCTATAATCGAGTCATATATAGTTCCTTTAAGTCAACCCGGATTTTTATTCCCGTATACTGCACAAGCGTCAACTTGTTTTGGTTATATACGAAGTTTTAGGAAGAAATACGAATCGTACAACCTATGGATCTGTAGCCCAGAGTTTTATCTTTAATTTGGCGTTGGTTTCATCCCAATTACAGTCACAGATAAAAAGTTATGACTAAAATACCACAGGCTGTCCTGTTTAATGCATATACGTGAGGTCTTAACTTAGTCTTTGTTCGAGTGTAGTCACATAGTCTAGTCACATGGTTATGACACGAGTCTTAACATGTCACCTACACTCACTAGTCTTAGCACACACTTTGAGTATATGTCACCATGACCATGTCTTAGGTTCATGCATGAGTCGGTCTTTTCCGTCATTTGAGTTGGGGGTACATTCTACTCCTAATTTTTCATATTTCCCTATCTACATCATCTTTCCCCATATCACGATTTTCATTCTTTCTACCTTCTTCCATACTCTGCATGTTGAATAGAGTTTGATTCAAATAATTAACAGTCGATATCCCTAATTTCCCTTTCCTCAATACTTGGTCAAGGAGAGAAGGGCGATTAATCAAGGACAACACCTTTGTTCAAGTCTTACTTTTTGATAAACCGATTCGTCAAAAGAGGAAAGCTAAAAAGATAATGGAAACTCAAGAAGAAGTCAACGAACTTAGGAATCAATTAATTACTGTGAATGAAGCATTGAAGGCTTTAACCCTCAAAATTGATGACCCTGTGAAGCAACAACAAATGAACCTTACGCAAGAAAAGCTTGAGCAAGCTATCTAGTGACTATAAATTTCAGGGCATTAGTTCACAAGGGGTCTCGCTGGACAAGGAACTTCTTCCGCATAAGTTCAATGCCAACGACATCCCAAAATTCAAGGCAACAGATAACCCTTACTTTCATCTAAGAGCTTTTGAAACTATAATGAACATTAAGGGGATTGATAAGAAAGTCTTTCATTCCTTGTTTTCTTTATCTCTTGAGACCGTTTGTCAACAATGGTTCTTTTCCCTTGACAAAGAGAAAACCTCTTCTTGGAAGTCGATAACAAACACTTTCATAGATAGATATAAGTGCAACATTCAAGACGAAACAGACCACAAACAACTTGAGATGTTAAAACAAAAAGAAAACGAAGGGTTCACTTCTTTCTTCAACAAATGGAGGGAAACTTCTGCTAATATGGTCAAGGTTCCTACCGAAAAAGAATCTGTGAGGATGTTTATCAAGAATATCCAAGGGAAGTATTCAAAGCACTTAAAATAACAACACAACTTGAATACTTTCAAGGCTGTGTATAATATAGGCATTGACATTGAAGATGATCTTCTGAAATAAAGATAATAGTGAAAGAGGAAAGAAGAACGACCATCCTTCTTCTTCCTCTCCCATTAACAAAGTACATGCTACGAACGCCTCTAAATCACGAATCCAAAGGTCGAAAAGAGTGTTCACTCCACTTGGCATGAGTTATGAAACAACTTTCGAAAAACTACACCACAAAGGACTAGTCATGCCCATAGGACCTCTCAAGGATCCAGTTCCAGGAGCCAGACCACCTAAGTGGGATCCTAATAAATATTGCAAATATCACCAAGGAAAGGGTCACAACACTGAGGAGTGTTGGAAACTCAAAGAAGCTATTCAAGATCTGATTGATGACAATAAAACTTCCGAGGTTCTAGCCATCGCAAAAAATCAAACATCCTTCAATACTTCACTCCTTATCACACCTTTAGGTGAGCCCATGATCGAGACAACTTATATAACCTCTCTTGATGAAGTGGACATGATTGAGGAGGATGAAAGTCTTTTTTTAGATAATACCAGGGAAGACTCGTCAAGTCTAAAAGAAAATGTTCGAAAACAGCAAGATGTCATTGCCATGTGGTAGAAGGACTAGCAAATCGGATGATGGTTGTCGAACAAAATTCTCACCAAGGATTTAATGAAGAACTCAATGCTCCTAAGTCACGGGCGAAATGGACCATTGAAGAATAAACACCAATAGGAATGACTTACAATGAAGCTTCTGACTATCTTCACGATCAAGGTCTCATTCACCACATTGGTCCCAGTCAAGACCCTCCGCCTGAAAAACGGTTTCCCAATTAGGATCCAAATTCTTATTGCCGATATCATAGAAGTCGTGGTCACACCACCGAAGTATGTCTCACCCTCAAAGATCGTGGTCAAGACCTCATTGATTCAAATATCATTCATGTTCCTCCGCGCGACAAGAAGGCCAAGATTAGTAATGATAACAACAGTGGTTGTAAAGGAAAGAAGAACGACTATCCTTTTTCTTCCAAAAACACCTACTTTAGTAACAGTGTTGGTTCTTTCGACCTTAATGAAATATTAGCCATGGATAATCGAGGATTTAGAAAGAAACTAAGAAAGGATTTCACCCCTATTGGAATTAGCTACGATCCATGCAAAGGGAGTCATTACTCCTATTGGACCCATTCAAGATCCCCACTTGAGAAGAGATTGCTTAGTTGGAACCCAAATGTACGCTGCAAGTACCATCAAGGTAGGGGTCATACTACTGAGAGCTGTTGGAAGCTAAAGGAAGCAATCCAATATTTGATCAACAATAACGGGTTTCCAATACCTCCAGTCGGCAAGAACACCAAGTGATGATAAGCCAAGGGACAAGAGGCAAGCTTCAACGACAAGATTTCATGATATTTTTTCGATTTTTTTTTATTTATTTTTTCCTTTCCCCAATAAGTCTAGCATAGGCACCTTTCTTCCCTTAGATTAATTTTGTAAGATCATTATTTCTTTTCCTTTAATAAAATGAGCATTAATTTCCTTGCATATGATCGTTGCATTGCATTGCATTAAAAAAAAATCCATGTCAAACTAAGCACAAAGTATACCAATGATTTGAGGCACCCCTTGTAGCCACATCATATCACCTTTCACCCTTCAAATATGCAATCCTTTGTTGGCAAACCACTTTGAGCCTCGTCTAACGATAGATCTTTCATTTTTCAACCCATATCTACCTAACCTTGGGATGGGATGGTGTGCAACTTATGCAATTTTCAATTTCATTAAAAGCTTGAGTGACTTCAAAAGATTAAAATAGAAAAAAGTAAAAAATAATAAAAATAAATAAAGTGCACAAAAGGGCAAGTGTTCCAATGTCTTTGATATGAACAAGTCTTAGATTGCGTTCCTTATCGAGTACTCGGTACCGTGCCTGAGAAACATGAATACCAAGTGAGTGATAGACCGCATGATCGGGATTTCCCACACTTATAAAAAAAATGCAAAAAAAAAAAGAGTTAAAAAAGAGTAGAAAGCCTCAAGCATAAAAATATAAAGATTCAAAAGCAAGATTCAAAAGGGTCTTAAGCCTTTTATCCCATTCTTCTTCAACCTTTAGCCTAACCACGCTACAAACCTTAAAAAGACCTTTTTGAGGTATACACACACTTGTGCGAGGTTCGGCTAGAGCTACGTTCGGCCTGATTCCTAACGGATACGTAGGCAACCTCACATCAAGGTGCATCCGTAATAAAATTGCATTCATATTCACATTCACACACTCACACCATGATCATATAAAGGGGTCTCCTATGCTCATTCCTTTTCACTTAGAGCTAGACTTGGAGGCACTAGTGGAAAAAATCTTATTTGTAACAAGCTATTCGTAACGGGCATATGATTTTCCGTTACAATTAAGTCATTCGTAACGGGCAAATTCAATGTCCGTTACAAAAAAGTTGTGACTTGGGCAGGAAAAAAGTTATTCGTAACGGACAGATTGGTGCCCGTTACGAATAAGTTGTTATTTGTAACAGGCATTATTCTGCCCGTTACGATTAACCAACTAATCGTAACCAACAAATATTGCCCGTTACAAATAGAAAAGTCAACAGAATTTTGACCTTGTTATTTGTAACTAACATGGGGTGTCCGTTACGAATAAGGTTTTAAAGTAAGCCCTAAATTTTTACTTTCCCCTTTCTCACTCCCTCTGTCAAAAAATTTCCTCTCTCTCTCCAATATTGAAGCAGCTCCCGCGCGCAAGGTCGTCGTCCTCACCTCCCTGAACTCCATTGAAGGAGCTCCAAGCTCAGTTCAACCTTTTGCTCCTCTCATTCTCACTCTTCTCCTCCATTGAAGCGCACTTTGAGTTCTCCATTATTGAAGCGCACTCTGAGTTCTCCATTGAAGGGATTTTAGAGTTCTCCATTGAAGCGCTCTCTGAGTTCTCCATTGAAGCGCACTCTGAGTTCTCCATTAAAGCGTACTCTTTCTCTCTCCTCCCCCAATTTCGTAACCCTTGTTTCAGTTTGCTTAATTGCAATTACTTAATTATAGGTTTTATTTTTTTCCCCAAATTAATTGATTGATTTTACTATGTTTCCATTTGTTTTGGGTTTTAATATGTTTTAGTTTAAAAGCCTTTGAATTTTGAGCTAAGTATAAATTTCCATTAGAGGAAATCTAAACTATATTTTGATTTTGAGTTAATAAGGAAACAAGCTATAGAACTTCCCAGAATAGTAGAATATCTCAATGCTGAAAACTTGGCACTAAACTCAGAAATCAATCAGCTGGTGGAGAAGTTCAGAAACTCCGTTTTGTAAATGCTGCATTTACAGAATAATCAAATTACATCAACTCATCTTCACCCCTTAATCTTATCCTGCAATACTTCTCCCTGCACTAGGAACTTCTACGTGCATTATTTTTGACTGTTTGGTGGATTGTCTAAAGTGAGGTTGAAATGTACTGGTTTTTTTTTAGTGCAACTATGAATTTTAGTTACTGGTGAGCTACAAACAGACCAGAGTGGCCTGTTCTTCTGTAACTCTGTATAGTTCTAATAGGTTTGCTTCAAAAAGATTAGAATTTATACTTGTTATATGGAGTAAAAGATCACTAATTTTGTTAATTTATTTGTTATACATTCTGTCATGAGAAATTCAGCATGCTCATTATTTTGTTAAATACAATGTAATATTTTCTCTCCCCCACCTTTCCTTATGATTTTGCAGAATTTATCAATGGGTTAATAACTTGATGCCTAATCGGATAGTACTTTGCTTTTTGTTGGTTGAAATTCTTTTGGAATTTTTAAGGGACTGCTGGTTGAATAGATATTCCAGGTCAATTTATTAAGAAGAAGAGAAACAAAGGGAGCCAAATTCAGTATTAGTCTTAATACAGTGATATTCCTGGCCATTTGTTTGGAAATGGAAACTTACTTCTATTTAATTTGATTTTTTTATTTTGCTGGGAAATGGGAGTGACTTGAATCTGATGTTTCAGGAGCAGCTCGGTCCTTAGCTCCCTCAACTCCATTAAAGCAGCTACGTCCTCATTTCAAGATGGTGATTTGATGCGGCTTAAATCTGACAATTTGGTATGAGTAATTAATTGTTTTGTAGCTTTTTTTTTTGTTTAATTAGTACATTGCATTGAGAGTTTCTTTCTTATGATTTTTGTTTAATTTTCTTCCAATTTTCTGCCAATTCAAATGTGTTAATATTTATTATGCATTATATTTTCATATGCCTAGATACCCGTTCAAGATTTACTCATTAGGAGTAAATCTTGAATAGTCCCCGTTTGGGACTGTTCTTGAAATTTTATTCTCACTTAGGATGTAAATGGTTGCTTGTTTTTCGGAAGTAAAGGTAATTTTGTGTTAGCATTCCCTAATGTGTTCTCGGGGTACATATGTAATTAAAAAATTAATTACATCGTGTACTTTGAGAACCATAGGGAAATGCTGCCGAAATTTCCTTAGGGCCGAAAAATGGTCAACCATTTGCTAGTGAGAATACACTTCCAAGGATGTGTTAGGTTGGAGCGATAAGGACCTTTGGAATCATGCATTTGGAATGTGTTGATATGTGATGTTGAATATAATTTGTTTCTTAGGTTTTAATCATACATTTTTAGAAATGGACCGTCGTTGGAAGTATAGTGGTTCTCAAACCACACCTGAATACTTAGCCGGGGTCAACGAGTTCTGTAGAATCGCAGTGCAACACCAATGGAGTACACTCGTTGAACAAAGGCTAACCAAAGCAAGACCTATTTTCTGCCCTTGTCATGATTGTAACAATGTGAAGAGGTGGGAAGACATTAAGAAAATAGAGGACCATTTGATTATTCGTGGGTTTATGCCAGACTACAGTATTTGGTATTGGCATGGTGAAAAATTTCCTCCCGCGGATAATTCTTCTATTAACGACAATGAAGCTGATGAGAGAGAGTCGAATGGTTTTGATGATAATGAAGTGGGTTTTAATGATGATGTTGAGGAAGACAGGATAGAAGAGATGATAGACGGGTTAGGCGATCATGTTAATGAAGATTCTCATATATATGAGAATGTGTCGAAAGCAGCTGAGACACCGTTGTATCCTGGTTGTTCTAAGTATTCCAAGCTTTTTGGTATTTTAATTTTATATAACTTGAAAGCGAAGAGCGGGTGGACCAACACTAGTTTCACTTTGTTGTTGGAAACCCTCTCTGATATGTTTCCAGAAGGAAATGACATTCCTAAGTCGACTTACTATGCGAAGAAGTTGATGTGTCCATTGGGTTTAGAGTACACCAAGATCCATGCATGTCTAAATGATTGTGTGCTATATCGAAAGGAGAATGCAAAATTGGATGCTTTCCCAAAGTGTGGTGTGTCACGATACAAGCGAGAGGGCTTAAATAATGATCCCTCAAAGTGGCCACCAGCTAAGGTAGTATGGTATCTTCATATAATACCAAGGTTGAAGCTCCTGCTCTCAGTTAGAGATGAAGCAAAGAAGTTGGTTTGGCATGAAAATGAGAGGAAGAAGGATGGGTTGATCAGACACCCAGCTGATTCGTTGCATTGGAAACACATTGACAAGACAATTCCAGAATTCGGGAAGAAGCCGAGGAACATAAAACTGACATTAAGTACGGATGGGATGAATCCATTTAGCACTCTTAGTAGTCAACATAGTACATGGCCTGTTCTTCTGTCAATATACAACCTACCTCCTTGGTTGTGCATGAAGCGCAAGTACATCATGTTATCACTTCTAATCCCAGGTCCTAAACAACCTGGCCATGAGATAGATGTTTATTTGGAGCCCCTTATTCACGATTTGAAACTTTTGTGGGATGAAGGTGTTGTGACATTTGATGCTCTTTCGGGTACAAATTTTAGATTAAGAGCCATGGTGTTTTGTAGTATAAATGACTTTCCTGCATATGGAAATTTGTCAGGGTACAAAGTCAGAGGACAAAAACCATGCCCTATTTGTAAGGATGACATGCAAATTACACACTTGAAGCATTGGGGGAAGAATGTGTACATGCATACCAGACTATCACTTCGTCGAAATCACCCATACAGGAAGATGAGACAACAATTCAACGGGCATGTTGAGAAGGGAGTGAGTCGTGAGCCATTGACAGGAATTGAAGTGTATAAGAAAATTAAAAATGTTAAGACAATCTTCGGTAAGATGCACAGAGAGATATCGAAGAAGGGTGTGTTGTGGAAAAAAGTGTCTAAGTTGTGGGATCTGCCTTATTAGAAGCACTTGTTGGTTCGACATTGTCTTGATGTTATGCACATTGAAAAAAATGTTTGTGAGGAACTAATTGGGACTTTGTTGAATATCAAAGGGAAGACAAAGGATGGTTATAAGATGCGTAGAGACATGAAGGAAGCCAAAATTCGACCAAAGTTATGGCTTGAGGATAATGAAGCAACGAAAAAAGCATTTTTGCCCCATGCGTGTTATATATTGTCTAGAGAAGAAAAAAGGATCTTTTGTGAGTGTTTGAAAGGAATCAAGGTGCCAACAGGGTATTCGTCGAACATAAGGCGTTTTGTTTCTACTACTGATAAGAAAGTTGTTGGTATGAAGTCCCATGATTGTCATGTGATGATGCAAGTGTTCATGCCAATTGCATTCCGAGGCCTTTTTCCAAAACATGTTAGGCATGCTATTGTGAAGCTTTGCTTGTTTTTCAATGCAATTTGCAGTAAGATGATAGATCCAAAAACACTCGACGATATGGAATATGATATTGTTGAAACATTATGCAAATTCGAGATGTATTTTCCTCCTTCCTTTTTTGACATAATGACTCACCTTGTTATGCACTTGCCTCGTGAGATAAAGGAGTGTGGTCCTGTATTTATGCGTTGGATGTACCCTTATGAGAGGCAAATGGGTACTTTGGAAGATAAGGCAAAGAACAGAGCAAATCCTGATGGGAGCATCGTGAAAGGGTTCATAGCAGAGGAAGCAGGGAACTATTGTTCAGTGTTTTTAGCTAAGGCGAAAGAAATTGGGATTCCTACTTCTCGTCACGAGGGAAGACTTCAAGGAAAGGGTAAAGTTGGTCGGAAATTGGTTAAACCTCCACTTGATCGATATAAGAAAGCCCACCGATTTGTGCTACAAAACCTATCTGCAGTTCATCCATATATTGAAAAACATCTTCATGAGTTGAAAATTCACAATCCCAGGATCACCTCCTATACGTTGATGCAGGAACATAATCGCCACTTTTTTGAGTGGTTTGAAGGACAAGTTAAGCTTGAATTGAGTAGAGATGAGAATGTTTCTGAAACGATCAAGTGGCTTTCACGAGGTCCACAACCACTTGTGTATACTTATGAGGGTTACGATATCAATGGATTTACTTTTGCCACTTGTCGTCAATATGAAAAAGTGTGCAACAAAATAGTGGTGTTGTCGTGGTTGCATCTTCTACTGAATACTCAAGTTCTAGGGATACAAGGCCAGTTGAAGCTACACTGGCATATTACGGTGTCATTCAAGAAATCTGGGAGTTGGATTATGTTGATTTCACAATTCCTTTATTTCGTTGCACATGGGCTGATAACCGTCGTGGTATGAAAACCGATGAGTTATTTGGATTCACCTTGGTTGACTCTAGTCGTTATACTGATGGTGAAGAGACTTTTGTATTAGCCTCACAATCGAAACAAGTATTCTACATCAAGGATAATATAGATCCGCAATGGCGTGTTTTAGTTGAAGGCAAGAGAAAAATTGTGGGTGTGAAAGATGTTGTGGATGAAGAAGAGTATGACCAATTTGATGACATCCCGCCTATAATGATGGGAGTGCAACCTCTACAAGAAGGGGAAGATATTGTTGATGATGTAGAGTATGATCGTGAGGAAGGGTTAGTGGTTCCTATAACTACAACTAAGGTTTGTGTTATTGTATTCCTTTAACAATAGTATTTTTTTGCAATTGATATTGAATTTATTAAATTGGTATATATCTAAATCATTAATTTCTTTATTATATAGTATTTACATTAATATGATTTTATTGTTATGATTTTGATTCTATTCTTGTTAATTTCATTCTTTGTGTAGGTGTAGGCATACTACAATGGAAGAAAACAGAGATGATCATGATGGACAGGAACAATCTGGTGACATGGATGCCTCCACTTCCCAAGTAAAATCTTCTACAAAAAAGGGACGAGGCCCGTCTAGATCAGTCCAAACAACTACACCCATGTTCCTCGAATTTGATGAGTTTGACATGCCTATTGGAAAGTGGAAATCTGCTTATGGGAAGCAAATTGGTAATTGTGCTCAAAGAGTTAACATTAATGTGAAGGGATATTCGAAGTATGATAAAGTTCAAAAGCAAAACTTGTGGGAGGAGAGTAAGGTAATTACGATATAAATATGGTTTATTGCTCTAAATTATATATAACTACATGCTGTCGAAATTAAATAAAATGAAAATTTAATTTAATAATTATTTGTAACGGGCAACAGAATTGTCAGTTACAAATAACCAGTTATTCGTAACGGGCATTTTTGTTGCCCGTTACAAATACGTGTTAAATTATATACAATAAAACTTTATTCGTAATGGACATTAAAGATGTCAGTTACGAATAAGGACTTTTTTAATACAAAAAAGGATTTATTCGTAACTGACATTTAATATGTCCGTTACGAATAAGGGGTTATTCGTAACGGACATTTGAAATGTTAGTTACGAATAATGAGTTATTCGTAACGGACATTTGAAATGTCAGTTACGAATAATGAGTTATTCGTAACGGACATTTTTAAATGTCCGTTACGAATAACTCATTATTGGTAACGGGCAGTGCCCGTTACGAATAACAATGGCCATCCGTAACGGCCGCATACGTAACGGACGCTGCCCGTTACGGATGTCCCTTTTTGCCCGTTACGGATGATGTTTTTTCCAGTAGTGAGGCTTGATCCTTACATCATTAGCTTACTTAGCCTAAGAGTCCCCATCATTTGACTCTTCTTGAAATAATCTTTTTCCACACACTTAGCCCTTGCGGCCTAACTTTAGTATCATTTTCCCACACCGCAAAAATACATAACCAAATATACTTCTCTTAGGAACCCTTTGTTATGGAATCTTAACACTACGCTGAAGCATGCCTTGTCATATCAACATCACTCATCCATTGCATCACAAAGTATGAAGTGCTTAGCCTCCATGCCTAAGTTACCCAAATGCTTTCATCATTGAGTCAACAATTGAGATAGCCTAGGATGGGTTAATCCTTGCACCTTGAGAGATAGTATCAAATGACATTTGACTAAGCCCATTCAACATGCACCTTCAAAAACTTCACTTCTTTCTTTTTTCGCGTCTTTCTTTTTCGGGAGAAAGTCGGTACCCTCCACAAAAATGACGAAAGTTTTTTGCCTTTTTTTTTTTTTGCATTTTCGAGTCGCACGATCACAATACAATGCACTCACGGGTCATAAGTCACACGTGTCATTTCACTTCGAGTCGAGTCAACCTCGAGTCAATCACAGCGAGTCAAGTTTATACCTTGAGTCGTGTCAAGTCAATGAGTCAAGCGACATTAAACCTTAGGTCAACCCTAAAATAATTAAAGAGATTAGCAAAGTCCTATAGTCAAAGATAAATACAGGTGCATCCCAGAAGCAGCAAGAGCTGAATAGGGAAGAACCGACTCCAGTGCCAAACGACAACATCTAGCGTCTGGCAACAGATTTCAGCGCCTAACGCTAGATCCAAGCGTCTGGAGACATAGCCAAATCACGGCGCCAGAGGCATTGTAGCGGCGACAGAGCTCAACCGCTCAAAGCAGTTCTTTCAACCTCTTTCAGCAATTTCTGGTTCCTTGGTACGCCAGTTAGCCCCTATAAGCAATTTGACATGATTAAATAGTCGGCTTGATTACAATCGCAATAAGTGACCGACTTGACGAAATATCGTCTCACTTAGCTTAAAGCTCCTAAACATTGGCTCATCGCAAGATACCGACATACTGGCTCAAAAAAAGCAGAGGCACCGAAATAATGGTTCACAAGAAGAAAAAGTGCCGACATACTGGCATAGCGGAAGCAAAGTTCAAGCGAGCTTTAAAGATCAACAAGCGTTGGTCTTTAGAAGTTTTCTTCGGAATATTATCGCAACAAACATTCAAGTATCAAAGCTCTATTGTTCAGAGACGCGTGGACAATCCTTTTAAGCACTTTTGTTCAGAGACGCGTGGACATATCATCAAATCTCTTTTGTTCAGAGACGCGTGGACATATCATCGAAGCTCTTTTGTTTAGAGACGCGTGGACATATCATCAAAGCTCTTTTGCTCAGAGACGCGTGGGCATATCCTTTCAAGCTCTTTTGTTCAGAGACGCGTGGACATATCATCAAAGCTCTTTTGTTTAGAGACGCGTGGACATACCATCGAAGCTCTTTAGTTCAGAGACGCGTGGACATATCAAAAAGCTCCATTGTTCAGAGACGCGTGAACATATCCAAAAACGCTCTATTGTTCAGAGACGCGTGAACATATCCAAAAAAGCTCTTTTATTTAGAGACGAGTGAACATCAAAATAGCAAGATGGCCTTCCATAGAATGTGGAAGGTTGTCACAACAACAATAGCAACAAATTGGTTACCCTCAGAGACGTGTGCTCGACGGTGCAAGATACACGGTTCTTAACTCTCTTATCTGTTTTAACTAACGCTGGTTTGCAGGCATTGACGTTACAAGAATGATTTAGGATCGTAAAACGTTCTGAATAATTCACCGTCCATATCGATACTTTGCCTTTTGTTTTCGAAACTTGCGTTTCTCCAAACTCAGTCAAAGTGGGGGCTTCTGTAGACACCCATTTGTTTCTCCCCAAAACCAAACCCATTGATGAATACCTTTCATTTCATTTGATTATCGAACAAAGCGAAAGTGTGAAAAGTCTAGTGATGAAGATGTTTTTATTAAAATATCTCTTCTTTCTGTTTTTAAAAATATTTCTTTTCTTACCTTATTTATGAAAAACGTGCATTTCAATTTAGTTGGCCTATAATAAGGTTCCAATAGTGTTTTTGGATGGGGTTTGAAAAGACCTTTCCAACGATACATTATAAGCCCAATTCCGATGAATAATGAGGAAGTTATGGCCAAAATACTAAACTGGGCCCGATTTGGTTTTTATATGCGGCCCAATGATCTAGAGGATGACCTATTATTAATTATCATTCCTAAAGCTATTAGGATTGATTATAGTTTTATAGAATATTCTAGAAGGTTCTTTTAAATCCTAATGGAGTTAGGATTGATAATTATGTTTTAAAGAGTTTGAAATTGAATAAAACTACTCCTTTTTAGAATCCTTGTTTTGTAAAAAGTGGAATATATTCAGATTTTTTTTTCTTGCCTCATAATATTTATCCAAATTTTATATGGTTGGATAGATATTGAAATTATCTTTTCAATTATATATTATAATATTAATTCCGAGCTATAACAAAAAAGATATGAATAAGATACAAAACTCTATCCAAAACTGACACCCTTCCACTATTTCGGACATATATTTTTATATACAAAAGAGTTTAATCTGATTTTAATTGGATTGGAACATAGACTTCAAGATCTTTCAAACGACATATTATATGTCTTATTTGGACTTCTGGATCAAAAGATATGATAAAAACAAAAACGCATGGCGCTAACCTTCAGCGTCTGGCGCTAATGTCCAGCGTCTGGCGCTAATCGAGTTTTATTCTCGTTGAAACTCTGATTCATTTTTTTATCCATCTGACTGATTTTCTCTAAAAATAGCCTCTTAAAATTCTGTTTTCAATCATCAATTTTCATCAATCATCATCAATTCTCATAAAGAATTTCTTGATTCTCTCTCTTTCTAGCCTAGCCTTTTGCAAACACAATTCCTCATACATTAGCACTAGACACACCTAGCATTGTTCGAAGTTGCCTTCGCCCTAGACGTGAAAGGTTTTTAATTTATGAGGGTTTGGTACCAAATCTCTCTTTCAATTATTATTTAATTTGATTGTTTTGATTATTATTTTCCTTGAAGTTACTAACGTGTGTATTTTGTTATTAGAAAGAGATACGAGGCATCCAAGTAAGTGCTATAATTGATTTATTGATATTTTGATATATAAATCATGTCTAGGTTATTATTATGGTTCCTATTGTCATGTTAGGGCGTTTTGATCTTCTTAGTATCATGTTTAGGGTAACAACTATAATTTCTAATATCAAATATGATAATTATGATTCCTGCAATGTTTTCTATGTTCTTTCCTAATATTCATGCCAGTATCATGTTAAGGCTAAATATATGATTTTTAATGTTTAGTGACATGCTAGGACTTGTTATTAATCTTGTTAGTATCATGTCTAGGAACTTGCTATTATTTTGCTTTAACATGATGATGATGATTATTATTGATTATAATAATTATTATTATTTTTATTATAATTGTCATGATTATTATTATGTTGCTTGATTATATTTATTGTTATTGCTTGATCACGCCTTTTATGCATGTGTAAAGGGAATTGGTACTTGTAATTACGCTTAATAAGATAATTAATAATCTTGTTAGGGTTAATTTTATTATAATTCAAGTGATCGCCAACAATAGTTTTGTTTGTGCGTTAATATTCAACCAACATAGATAAACAGGTTTAGGGTTAATCCTATTGATTGTATGTTAGTCAGAAAGCGCATATGAATACGATCAAAATAAAGTAGACGCCTATTATTAGGGCAGGTTTAATCTCTTTTAGGTTGGATTTGTACCTTCATCCCCGAACTACCAGTCATGGTTCCAGACCTATTTAGAGTTGACGATATCCTAGATCTTTAAGAGGTGTAACCTTCACCTCGTGAACGGTTTACAAGTTCCTAAAACTTGTTGGCGACTCTTTTGCTCTATCTTCCTTCCCTTTGGACGCCACCATACTTTAGTGTATGATCACATTGGGGTTCAAGTTTGGGATAATTCTTGAAATATTCCCTACAATAATAATAATAGCAAGATCCTAAACATGATACTAATAAGATTAATAACAAACCCTAGCATGTCATTAAACAATAAAAATCAAAGCTTTAGCCCTAACGTGATACTAACATGAATATTAGGAAAGAAATTAGGAAGCATCACAGGAATCATAATTGGTATAAGCAAATCACCCTAAATATGATAATACGAAGCAATAAAACATCATAACATGATACTAGGAATCAAAAATAACTACCTAAACATGATTTCTGTATCAAAATATCAATTAAACAATTAAAGCACTTACTTGGATGCCTCGTACCTCTTTCTAATAACAAAATACACACGTTAGTAACTTCAAGGAAAATATAAAATTAAACAATTAAATTAAATAATTGAAATAGAGATTTGA